TTGTCGCAGCGCGCGCTCCTCCCGAATCTCGCGCAGCTCATCCAGCGTAGAGCGGAGGACCTCTGCCAACGTCGGTGTCTCCTCGCCTCCCGCCGTACGCTCGCATGCCCTCTTTCTCGTCGTCGCCATCACTTCACAACACAGTTCACTGATCGTTCTTTTCGCTCCGCTCGTCCGTTCGATCCCGGACGAGCCCCCAAAATGTTACGCCCGGGGCGGTGTATCTCGCGATCACGCACTCGCCCGCGTAACGTTCGCACTTCCGCACCCGCGTTCGCGCACGCGCACCGGAAGGTCGCGGAGAAATAAGAAGGAACACCAATTAGAAACACAAGGAACACGCTTTATTATAATGACTGTGAACAAACAACGCAGCGAATAGACAGAACAGAGCTCAGCACGTCCGAACGAATCGACGGCTCGTCTCCAAATCTAATATGTCATCCGTTTGACAGATGACAACGCGTCGTCAAGGAAACATCTGACAGCTGGACCGGCTCGCTGATACATCGAACGACGCGGGTGTTGACACGGGCGTAACAATATATATATGTACAGTCGTGGACACATCGGTTGCGACACTTTTTTTTAGTGAGTTTCGGAACGCAGAATTTTTTCGAGAAAGGGAACCACTGCCTCTAGGTGCGTCTCATGGAGGACTGGAGAGAGCATATCGATGGTGGGGGTAAGAAATTTGTAATCGGAAATGACATCACCAGTCAACCATCTAACGCACTGTTTAACCGCAAACGGCGCTATAGTAGAAGCTTTTGATTGGCTTTTGATGTTGATCGAGCATGGAACTATGGAAGACTATTTCACATGTTAAGAGGTTACGTGACTCGTGAGGTTGTTATAATTATATTGAGGCTATTATTATATTATATAAATATATTTCTATATATATAATTAAAAAATGGTTAGCTGTATTTTATGTAGTTTTTCCAAAGCAAAAAATTGTGGAGTTACTTTTCATATGTGATTATCTGTTAATATTATTACATTATCTGATATGTGCACTGTTAAAATAATTTTTCTGTAAAACAATATATTCTTATAGATTTCCAAAAGACCCCACAAGATATAATATATAGGTAAATTTTGTAAATAAAGGCAGCAAGTGGAAACCGAAAAAAATTACTGTCAAACGTTCAATTTTATCTAAGACTGTTTCGATAAAAGTTCTCTCAGTGTGACCCGTCTCAAACCACATGCGATCCCAA